AGTCTCACTCTTGCTCAGGCTGGTCTTGAACCCTTGAGCTCAGGCAATCCACCCTCCTCGACCTCCCAAAGTGCTAGGATTATAGGCATGAGTCCCCTTGCCTGGTTCCACCTAACTTTCATTTATAGAGATGGGGTCTCCCTGTGTTGCCCAAGCTAATCTCACTCCTAGGCTCAAATGATACTGCCCCCTGGCCTCCCAAAGTGCTGGGATTACAGGCATGAGCCACTGCACCAGGCCTGGCCATTATTTCTTTAAATATTTTTGTAGCTCCCTCCTTCACAGACTCCGGTTAGGGGTGTATTAGTTTATTCAGGTTTGTCCCACAGCCAGCTCACCAATATTGCAGTGTATCTACGTGACATGCTTGATCTTTCCTTTACCTTCTCAAGTTTGTAGAATATTGGCTCAATGCCTGTGGCTCAAGTGGCTAAGGCGCCAGCCACATACACCTAAGGTGGCAGGTTCGAATCCAGCCCAGGCCTGACAAACAACAATGATGGCTGCAACGAAAAAATAGCCGGGTGTTGTGGCGGGCGCCTGTGGTCCCAGCTACTTGGGAGGCGGAGGCAGGAGACTCGCTTGAGCCCAGGAGTTGGAGGTTGCTGTGAGCTGTGATGCCCCAGCACTCTACTCAGGGTGACAGCTTGAGGCTCTGTCTCAAAAAAAAAAAAAAAAAAGTTTGTAGAATACAATTATAATAAATGTGCATGTCTTATGTGTTAAGTCTGTCTTATCATTTCTGGACCAGAATCAATTGATTGAGTTCTGTCCTTATTATGGGTGATATTTTCCTGCTTCTTTGCATTCCTGTTCACTTTTTTTTTTTTAGAGACAAAATCTCACTTTATTGCCCTTGATAGAGTGCTATGGCCTCACAGCTCACAGCAACTTCCAACTCTTGGGCTTAGGCGATTCCCTTGCCTCAGCCTCCCGAGTAGCTGGGACTACAGGTGCCCACCACAACACCCGGCTATTTTTTTTGTTGTTGTTGCAGTTTGGCTGGGGCTGAGTTTGAACCTGCCACCCTCAGTATATGGGGCTGGCGCCCTACTCACTGAGCCACAGGCGGCACCCACTTTTTTTTTTTTTTAACTGGATTTTACCTTGTTGGGTGCTAAATATTGTATTCCTATAAATATTTTTGAGCTTTATTCTGGATTGCAGTTAAGTTATTTAAGGCTTTTTTTTTCCCTGCAGTTTTTGGCCAGGGATGGGTTTGAACCTACCACCTCCAGCATATGAGGCTGGTGCCCTACTCCTTTGAGCCACAGGCGCTGCCCAAGTTATTTAAGCCCTTTTTTTTATATATATAGTTTTTTTGGCCAGGGCTCATAGGCGCCACCCTACAGTTAAGTTATTTAGAAACAGTTTGACCCTTACAGAGCTTGCTTTGAGAGGTGGAAAAAGAACAGTGTTCAGGGCTATAGTCTTAGGTTTTCCACTGTGGTAGGTGGGAACAGAGACTATTCCTAGCCAGGTGATCTTTTTTTTTTTCCTTAGAGACAGAGTCTTACTTTCTCGCCCTTGGTAGAGTACTGTAGCATCGCAGCTCACAGCAACCTCCAGCTCTTGGGCTTAGGCTAAGGTGACCAGATGTCCCGTAGCGTTTTTAAAAAGTCCTGATTTTTGGAAAGAATGCGTGACAAGCTAGGGAACAGGAGAACGGGAAGGGAATATACAGTTTTCGGCTGCCATATGGCTATTTCACCAGGGTATGAGTTATATATTATTTTTGTTAATTTTATAATGTTAAACTTTAATAATACCAAATCATTGTTGAGAACTGCTTATCAAAGTTCGCATTGTTGATCAGTTGTTAGAATTGGACCACCATTGTTTGGACTTAATGAACAATCCTGTTTTTTGGCATTGGCAAACACAAAAACATTTTGTAACTCTTTCTCAGATGATACATTTCTTAACTGTGTGCCAGTGCTAGTTAAACAAGTGATGTCAACAAATCAGCTATTCAGATAATTTAGGTAAGTAATTTATTTCCTGAATTTAGCAGACAGTACTCGTATTATTTATATTTTATAGTGGCGGCAAAAAGTCTAGCGCCAGCCTTGAAAGTGACACGACTTACTAGGTATCATTATTAAAAAAATATATTGATAAGGAAAAGGTTAAATCTTGGGCATCAGCAAAAATCACAATAGAGAACAAATGATTAGAAATATTTCGTCATTTTGAAACAAATCATGTTCCATACAATAATGCACTAAAAATTGTGGGATATGCGCTGTCCTTACCAGGAACTAATGCTGCAACTGAATGCATTTTTTCTATGGTAAATAAAGTGTGGACATCAGAAAAATCGCAATTAAGTGTTGAGACTTTGAAAGCCATTTTATGTGTGAAATGTAATTTAACAAATTCTTGTGAAAGGCTCGGCACCTATAGCTCAACTGGCTAAGGCGCCAGCCACGTACACCTAAGGTGGCGGGTTCAAATCCCCAGCCCGGACCCACCAAACAATGACGGCTGCAACCAAAAAATAGCCGGGCGTTGTGGCGGGCGCCTGTGGTCCCAGCTACTTGGGAGGCGGAGGCAGGAGACTCGCTTGAGCCTAGGAGTTGGAGGTTGCTGTGAGCTGTAATGCCACGGCACTCTGCCCAGGGGGACAGCTTGAGGCTCTGTCTCAAAAAAAAAAAAATATTAAAGCACAGAGAGCTGAAGTTACTTAACCAAGAGAACACAGCTAGTAATGGCCAGGATTAGAATTTTGATCTGGCTCCAAAGACAACGTATATATTTAATCAATACACAACACTGCTCCTGTGTTAAGTTCATTGTGTATATCAGCAAGTGAGTGTCAGGTACAGGCTCCCTCAGCGTTTTTGTTTTTTGTTTTGTTTTGTTTTGTTTTATTGAGACTAAGTCTCCCAAGTCTTGCTCTGTTGCCCCAGCTGAAGTGTCATGGCTTCATCTTAGCTCACTTTAACCATCAACTTCTGGGCCCAAGCAGTCCTCCCACCTCAGCCTCCCAGAGTGAGCCACTATGCCCAGCCTGCTTAAATTTTTTATATAGTTTTATTTATGTTTGTACACATGCCTGTGTCATTATGCACACTCATGGTTTACTTTCACACAAAATAGAGACTAGTAAAATGCCTTTCTTCCCTCAAGCTCCCAAGTACCCAATTTAAATGTGTGTTTCCAGAGGTCTTCATAAATAAAAGCTTAGAAATAAGTGCCAACATACTATCTTCTTTCTTCACCTTTAAAAAAAAGTTATTTTCAGGTTATTCTGTAATAGCACATGTACTCTAAGAGATGCCTTATTTATTTATTTTTATTTTTTGTAGAGACAGAGTCTCACTTTATCGCCCTCAGTAGAGTGCCGTGGCATCACACAGCTCACAGCAACCTCCAACTGTTGGGCTTAGGCAATTCTCTTGCCTCAGACTCCCGAGTAGCTGGGACTACTGGCGCCCGGCTACATTTTTTTGTTGCGGTTCGGCTGGGGCCGGGCTTGAATCCACCACCCTTGGTATATGGAGTCGGCGCCCTACTCATTGAGCCACAGGCGCCGCCCAATAAGTAGGCCCAGGTAATGCTGCTGCTTTTTTTTTTTTTTTTGCAGTTTTTGGCTGGGGCTGCATTTGAACCTACCACCTTCAGCTTACGGAGCCAACTCCCTACTCCTTTGAGCCACAGGCGCCGCCTGCCTTATTATTTTTCAATAGTCACATAGGGTGCCATTGTATGGGTGCACCATAATTTACACACCTTTCCCTTTTACAAGACTTTTTAAGTTGTCTCCAAACTCATGCTATTATAAACAAGGCTGCAGAAGGTATCTTCATTTCATTGTGTGTGTGTATAAATTTCCCAATTTGTGTAGGTGTCTAAATTTCCCAATAGGCAACAGTACCTATAAGATAAATCCTGAATGTGGAATTGTTAAGCCAAAATGCTTGTGCTTTTGAAATGTAGAGAGCTGTGACTAAATTGCTCTTCAGAGATTTTGCACTGGTTTATACCCTCACAGCAGGGTATGAAGGTGTCTGTATCCCAGTACTCTCCCCAACAGCTTACTATACTTGCATTTGTTTTTTTTTGTTTGTTTGTTTGTTTTTGTTTTTGTTTTTGTTTTTGAGCCAGAGTCTTAAGCTGTTGCCCTGGGTAGAGTGCTATGGCATCACAGCTCACAGCAACCTCCAACTCCTGGGCTCAAGCGATTCTCCTGCCTCTCCCAAGTAGCTGGGACTATAGGCGCCCCACTACTACGCCCAGCCATCTTTTGGTTGCATCCATCATTGTTGTTTGCAGGCCCAGGCTAGATTCGAACCAGCCAGCTCAGGTGTATGTAGCTTGAGCCACAGGCACCGAGCCTTGTGTTTGTATTTTTAAAGTAATGGTTATCAAGGTCATATCAAAAGATCATCTTCGTGAGGGATGACAGTAGCTGGTCACTGCATTTGTTTGCTAGTAAACTAAGAAACGGTCACCAAAGATTTAATTCCTTTTTATTTATGATTATGTATTCAGTTCAGTCTACAGACTTAACCTGCACTTGGTCCTAGGGGTAGAAAGGTCTGTGATTTGGTCCCTGCCCCCGGGCAGTTTGTTGTATAGAGGAACACTTGAGAAAAGGAGAGCTATGAAATGGCATATGTTCTGCTGGAGAAAATTGTATAATGGAACAAGGAAAAGTGTTGCTAGAATGCTCTTAGGAGGTATTGCCAAGAACTGTTGATCATGTTGAACTTGACAGTGATTGCTGTCCCAGACTCAGCCCAGGTGGAGAAGAGGAAGTTGCTCCTGCCTATGAGCCAGCTCAGGGTAGATGCTGTAAGCTCAGCCTCATCTGGAGCTTGAGTCTGCACCTCCCTACAGAATTGCCAAGCTTCATGCAGGAAATCAGCAGCCTGTGATTGGAGGGCTGGTGCGGCTAGGGTAATGAACTTGGTAGTGTCGGCAGAGGCGATTGGCCAGGCCCTGCTGCAGTGAGAATGCAGACTGGATGCTACAGTCCTCGGCTTGGGTGATGAGCGAGGACGGCTGAATAATTGGGAGCTTGAAATTGCTTCTTCCTCCGCAAAAAGGTTTGCATGGCTGTCGCTTTTTCGTCTTAAAAAAAAAAAAAAGCCAAACATTTGATCACCGTCACCTGCAGAAGTGAGTTTTCATTGAAGAAGCTCCAACTGCTTTCTCCTTATTTCCAACAGCCCGGCGAGGCTTCCTTAGAGTGAGCTAGCTACTTCTCAGGCCAGGCACGACAGCAGTGCTGGCCAATTTGAAAAAGCAGGAAACATCCCCTGCATGCAGAGCTTCCAGCCTGAGAACGCCCCAGCCTAGTCTTCCAGGCAGCTGTGTAGCCAGAGAGCCTTGGTATTGTGGTCACATCCCTCAAAAGTGAACAGTCACCATCAGCGGCGTTGGAGGAAGCTGTGATGTTGCAGACGCTGTGGCATTTTCTGGCTAGCTTTTTTCCTAGGGCCAGGTGCCAAGACTCCAGAGAGGGGAACGATCATGAAGTCAGAGGCACCCCAGCCCCTGCTCGGGGAGACCAGGTGTCAAGCTTTATGGTGAAACAGGATGGAAGGGCTGAGGCCACGGAAAAGAGACCCACCATTTTGCTGGTGGTTGGACCTGCAGAGCAGTTTCCTAAGGTAATGGCAGCTTCAGGAGAACCTCCTAGTTAGGAGCTGATCTGGGAATGTTTTTCTGAAATAAAATTGGACTATGGGGAGGGAGAGAGGACTTAAAATTAATTTGGTATCGGGGAAAAGTGTTAGGCAATGAAGAATCCCAGAAAATTCAGTCCAGAATCTTTCCATGGCTACTGTAAAGGCTACATGACCTGTTAAGATCACTCCAATGTGGCTATTGAGGGAAAGAGGTTGAATTCAAAAGATTTGCCTTAGTATTGTTAGTTTGGCTGCACAAAGCCATTTGAAAGTAAATGACAAACTATTAAAGTGTGTCTTAGCTTATCTGAACAATGCTAGGAGGACAAAGCCAAAAGGGCAGAGAGTGCACCTGGAAAGTCAAACTTGGGAGGCAGGGGGCCTTGGCATACTGAAGGTCACACTCCTCTGTGCCTTGGTAGAACTGTCTTACCTTTGGGTCCGGAAGGATGAGTAAAGAGGTGGAGTTCCAGGAGAGGCTAGAGTCTCCAGACACGGAGACTGGTGCCCCGCTGGGAGCAGCCACTGTGAGTCTGTTGCATACAGGGCCTTTCATCCTCGTGAGCCCTTTAGTCCCTCTGAGAGTGGATTATCACCATCTGGTCCTCACAAGGGCCAAGGTAAGTGGCAGTGCCCCCATTTCTTAGTTGAGGAAACTGAGGTGCACAAAGGTTAAATACTTTGCTCAGGGTCGAATGGCTAAGGAGAGAGAAATTGAGATTAACTCCAAAATCTGTCCGGAACTTTACCCCACAGTCAGGGGTGGGGAAGCTCAGGCTTCAAGGCCACGTGGCCCTCCAGATCACCCAGTGCAGCCCCTCAGCCAAATCCATTATTGAAGGGATTTGTTTGAAAATTTTGGATTCAGTCAAAAGGCTGCGGTCAAGAATCCGGAAGGCTACATGTAGCCTAAGGCTTCAAGCTCCCCACCCCTGACTGAAATTGCCATTTGGCCAAGATTTCTCCAGCCTGCAGTAGGAGTGACCTTGTTCACCTCCTCAGCTTTGGTTATTTTCGATCATTGCTCTTTACTCAAGATAAAAGTCGGAGGGGAAGGAGATTCTAAGGTGTTTGGCACATCATAGACACTCCCAGCATGTTTATTAAACTGAACTCCTACAAAATGTTCATGTTGCCCTTGCTACCAGTAGGGACTTTGTTGTATTAACAACTTTCGCAGTCATGGTGGCATGGAGGAGAATCCTTAGTCTGTGCTAGGCCCCTTCAGGGCATCCAGGGTCTCACAGACCCTTTGTTCTGCCTGAGGTGTGTGTGTTCAATGTGCTACAAGGGGGTGTCACTTTCTACCTTTTGCTCATTTTAGACAAGATCGGAAGTGGCGATGGCGCTAGCTTTTGTGAGGAGCTTTTTATCTGCAGACGTACTTGCCTTATGGCCCAGATTGGCCAGCTGCTTTTTAAAGTTGCCTATTTTTTACTTTAATAATTAACTGCTCCATTTCCCAGTGTCCTAGGGCACCCCTTGCCAGCTCTGCCCCAAGGGGTTGCCTCGGGGTAGGACTTTCTGTTCTGAACAGCTTAGCTCTTGGTCTGCAGAAGCAAGAAACCCACACCTTTTACTGGCTCTGTTCCCCAGAAGGGAGATGGATCAGCTTCCAGGTGGCAGAGAGCTGCTGGTTTGGTTGGAAGAGAGAAAGTACATCTGGGCAGCACAGACCCTCAGAGCAAGTGAACCAAGAAGTGGAATGGTAGGAGCACTGATGCAGCAGGCATCCTTTAACCCTGGCCCCACAACTTCTCTCAGGAAGAAGCCTCTAGAATGTTGTGAAAACATGTTAGAGAAGTTCACATTGGTTCACATTGGTTCTCAGGCTGCTCAGTGTCCCAGAAGTACTTCGTTTTGCTCCCACTTCCCCTGTTTAATTGTCTGCTAGTGAGTCAGGTTCCTATAAGCTTTTATTCTAGGAACTGTTCCAGTTTCCACCTTTATCTTTGTCTTCCAATTAATTTGCAGTTGGAGAAGAAAGCCATTACTCTGGGGTGGGAGGTGCCCTCAGAGGCATTCACTCCTTCAAATCCTGAAGGGCTGTCTTCCTGGAAGCTCAGAGAATTTTGTTCATTGTGTGTGTGATTGCCAAGTGTAGGCAGGTTTCACTGGAAACCAGCTACACTGGGCTGTCATGGCAACCTGATCATCAAATGACACTGTGGCCAATGAGGTTTGAGAGCCTTGGGTAGGTGGGGCTTGAACAGCCGGATGCTGGTGAGGCCTCTTCATGTATTTCTGGCTTAGTCTGAGTCATTGCAGAGGAGTGGGGAGAAACTTTGTGACCTAATGCTACAGTCCCAAAGGCACTGTACCTGCCCTGCTCTTACTCATGCTATTCGAGCCCTCACAGGAAGCTCCTGCTCTTTATTGGCATGTGGCAGAGTGGTAGAACAAAGAAAGCTTATGGTGGCATTGGCTGATTTGCCGTGAGAAGATGCTCAGGAGAAAACCTGCTACTCGGCAGATTAAATGAAATCTGATGCCACTAAGTACTACGGCCCCTAGTGTTGCTGTCAGTTGTTTCTGAATCTAGTCACAAGAATGGACCTCAGAGGGAAGGAGACAGATCTGTGTCATCAAAAAGTTAGAATAAGTGAAGAGAGCAGAGAAGAATTGTACACAATGGGGCACGTCACGCCCAGATCTTAGAGAGCCAGGAGAGCCAGTGTGAAGCGTCAGGAGGGAAACACGAAGCCTGCTTTAGTTCTTCCTTATTGTATTTTTCAAGTAGACATTTAGAAGCTGTGGCACAGGGACAGCTGTGGTTGTTTTTGGCTAAGTCTCAACTTGCTGAGTTATACCTCTCCTACACACCTGTCATCTTCCAGTATAAAGGCGTAACCCCCAGTATCGGGTTTACTGGCATTCTTTGGGAACTGAATTCTAAAATCTCCTTTTGTTGCTTTGGGGTGGTATTCTGAGTGGATCTTGTAACAAGAGCTGGGCTGTGGGTGTGAAGGTCAAACCTGGAGGTTTTGGGACTTGGGCACCTTCAGGTTATCTCTATAGGTATGTTTGTTCAATTCAGAGATTAAGGGATGAACCCAGAGCCAGCCCCTCTAGACCCCATAGTCTACCATTCTAGGAATAAGCAATGGCCCAAACACCTAGAGATTTGGGGAGAATTCTTAATTTCATTGTGAAAATGGAGTTCTAGTGGTGGGTACAGTGGCTTGGGCCTATAATCCTAGCACTTGGGAAGCTGAGACAGGAGGATTGTTCAAGGTCAGGAGTCTGAGACCAGCCTGGGCAAGAGCAAGACCCTATCTCTACAAAAAAATAAAAAATAAATAGAAAAATTAGCCAAGTATGGTGGTGCACACCTATGGTGCCAACTACTGGGGAGGCTGAGGCAGGAGGATCACTTAAGCCCAGGAGTTTGAAGTGGCAGTGAGCTCTGACACCACTGTACTCTAGCTAGAGTGACAGAGACTCTTATCTCCAGAAAAAGAAAAAAGAGAGAGAAAGAAAGAAAATGCAGTTCTGAATTACCTTTGAAACTCAATAGGACAGATGGTTTAAATAAATAAGGAAACATCAACTTAAATTTATGAAGACATTCTGTGGGGCTTAATCATAGCAGCAAAATAAAAGGAATTTGAACCTCTAGTTATTTATTTAACTTTTTTTTTTGTAAGGCAGTGTGTCATTCTGTTGCCCTGGCTAGAGTGCCATGGCATCATCATAGCTCACAGCAACCTCAGTCTCTTGGGCTCAGGAAATCCTCTTGCCTTAAACTCCCCAATAACTAGGACTACAGGTGCCAGCCACAATACCCAGCTAAGTTTTTTTGTTTGTTTTTGTTTTGTTTTTTTGGTAGAGACAGAGGTCTCATTCTCAGGCTAGTCTCAAACTCCTAGTCTCATTGCTCAGGCTAGTCTCAAACTCCTAAGCTCAAGCAGTTCACCTGCTCAGCCTCCCAGAGTGCTAGGATTACAGGGTCTCACTTTGTTGCCTGGGATAGAGTGCTGAATTCACCCTTTTTAAAACTAACATTGGAATAGAATTGACATTAACATTGTAAAATAATGTCTTGGCAGCCATGTAGGACATTTCAAAGAACGTTTCCCGAGCCTGTGATACTTTTGGTCTATGTAGAGCTTTGTTATAATCAAGGAGATGTCATTCTTTTTTTCTAAAAAACAGTTGTTCTTATTTGATAATCCTTAATGATTTCTCCTTAAATTATTTATTTTTTGCAGTTTTTTTTTGGCTGGGGCCGGGTTTGAACCCACCACATCTGGTATATGGGGCTGGTGCCCTACTCCTTGAGCCACAGGCACCACCCCTTGTTTTTAAATCTCTGAAGATTTGTTTTGAAAATTATACAACTCAACGGTACAGGTATTTACCAAAATTATTTGAAAAATATACTTTATTAGGAAATGAAATCTACAATTGGATAAATTATCCAGTCAAAATATTTGCTATTCTGTGTTAGAATGACTAAAATAAGATACTTCAATAGATCTGTGTTATTTTAGTTTCAACAGCAAACATGAATAATTTAACAAAGGAAAATCAGCATTTTAAGATTCAACTCATTTATAAATGTCAACCTCCTTTAAAATAAAAAATAGTACATTATCTTGTTCAATTAGATGAAATGTACTGACGACTCTATGTACAGATGCTCAGAAAAACAGGCCTTCATCTAGAATGGTCACGTGTATTTCTTTTTTTTTTTTT